TGTTTGTTTTTAAAAATCAATAAAAAAATTTTTTTTTAAAAAAACATACCCCCCCAATCACCCCGGAAACCCTGGAGGCCCCAGGAGACACAAATGAAACCGTGACGATTGTGAAGTGTTTATTGAACATTTATTAGCCACGACATGGCGGGGATGATGGGGAAAGGGGCTCTGGATCCCGGGTGGCGAAAAACAGCAGATGCCCCCTTATCCAACTGCGGCCAGAGGGAGGCTGCACCCCCGTAACTCAAAAAAAAGCACCCCGTTCCCCTAAAACACAATCCTCCCCCCAACCTCTAGGAGCTGTTCCTTGTGAAGCCCAGAATGGCCTTCTTAATAGTTGGCCAGGACACGAGGGTCATATACGAACTTGTGTCCACCACGGTATCACAAGGGGATCTGTCGATGTCGACGGTGGCGTGGAATTTCTTGGAGCATTGGGCGCTGTAGTAGCTGACGAACGTTTGGTGAGCTAGTTTGTGTCTGCAACTGGGTCGTCTCCTCGCTGGTGCCTCCGAAATGGCGCCCTCTGAAATCCCGTCAGGGACGCACATGGCCGCGTCGGGGAAACAATCGGCCTCTGGAGGCGGGATACCGGCTGGGTTGTACGGAAGCTTTTGCGGTGTGCCCCTTCCATTGTGCATCTTTGGCAAGTGGCTTCTTTGGATCGGCATGCCGCTCTGGGCGGATTGCCCCAACACGGGGCACCAAAGAGGCGCCTCTCTCCCGTTTCCGGACTCCCTGCCTCCTCTTCGGAACAAGTGCGGTGGATTTCATCACCCTACGATGTATTGTCTCCATGTTCCATGCTCTAGTGATGCACGGTGGCCGCTCCGCCTGAGGGATGGCCGCTCCTTGGTCTCCGAATGGCGGCGATGACCTCATGGAGGACTCTCTCGCCTTGGCCTCGTCTAGGGTGGAAAGAGACACAAATGAAACAGTGATGATTTTAAAGTGTTTATTGAACATTTATTAGCCACTACGTGGCGGGGATGATGGGGAAAGGGGCTCTGGATCCCGTTTAGTGAAAAACGGCAGATGCCTCCTTATCCACGTGTGGCCAGAAGGAGGCTGCACTCACAACTCAAAAAAAGCACCCCGTTCCCCTAAAACACAATCCTCCCCACAACCTCTAGAATGACAGTTTGCAGATAAATAGACATGCCTGAGGTGCAACTCCCAGAATTCAATAGGTGGGCTTTTCTCCATTCAATTCAAGGCATATGGAAAATTCGGTGGCCAGGAATGTTGGTTTAAGTGAATTTGGCGTGCTGAGGATGCTGCAACGGTTGTTAGGTGTGAAACGTTGGTCCGAAGTCCCCTTTTTCTCCGTCCTGTTATAACTTCCAGCGGTCACTAAGCGACCTGTTATAAGTCGAGGAGGAAGACTGTTGCATATGCTAATGGAGAGTGTAGCCAAGGAACAATGATCACAATCCGGTCCGCTTTCTAGGAGGGAAAAGAAATAATTTATTTATTTTTATTTATTTATTTTGACAAAAGATTATTAGATAAAAGGTACAAGTATAAAAATAGTTATGAATACATGAAATGAATACATATAAGAAAACAAAAAACAATTGGACAGGAACGGTAGGCACGTTGGTGCGATTATGCAACATTTAAATTTAAAATGATTGGTCTTTTTTCCGCGGTGGGGGACACAGACCAAGGGTTTTAACGTGTCACCCTATACTTGCCTGGACTCCCACTATGGACGTCCGCGAATGCCGTGACTGTCTCCTCCTCGATGCTCTCGTCTTGGTAGGCGAGGACGGCAGTCACTTCCAGACCCAGGATATCGAACCATTCTCACTGGAGAAGGTTTGGCCGGTCTCCGTTCACCCGACAAAACTTTTAAATTTAATTTGGAAGGACCCCCTCCCCAGGACAGGGATGAGGATCCCTTGGTGGTCCTTTAGCACTACTTTCTGGGGCTTTAGCTGTTCCTTGTAAAGCCCAGAATGGCCTTCTTAATAGTTGGCCAGGACACGAGCGTCGTATACGAACTTGTGTCCACCACCATATCACACGGGGATCTGTCGATGTCGAGGGTGGTGTGGAATTTCTTGGAGCATTGCGTGCTGTTGTAGGCGACCAACGTTTGGGGGGCTAGTTTGTGTCTGCAACTTGGTCGTCTCCTCGCTGGTGCCTCGGAAACGGTGCCTTCCGGAATTCCATCAGGGACGCACATGGACATGTCGGGGAAACAATCGGCCTCTGGAGAAAGGATGCCTGCTGGGTTGCACGGCATGTGTTTGCGGTGTGCCTCTTCCTTTGTGCATCTTGGGCAAGTGGCGTCTTTGGATCGGATGCTGCTCTGGGGGGATTGCCCCCACGTGAGACACCTAAGAGGCACCTCTCTCCCATTTCCGGATTCCCTGCCTCCTCTTTGGAAGGAGTACGGTGGATTTTGTCACCCTTGGATGTATTGTCTCCATGTTCCATGCTCTCGTGATGCACGGTGGCCGCTCTGCCCGAGAGATGGCCGTTCCTTTGATTTCCGAATGGCGGTGTCTGACCTCATGGGGGACTTTCTCACCTTGGCCTCGTCTAGGGTGGCTTGGAACATGAGATCAAGCTGAGCCATTAATCGCCTCCGTAGGTTTAAAACTTTTATACCCCCAAGGAGCCCCTCTCGCATCCTTTCCTCCTCCAGATCGCTGAATTGCAGTCGCCTGCCATTTCTCTCAGCGTTGCCACAAAGTCATAGACTGTTTCACGGCCTTTTTGATCCCTGGGGAGAAACTCATGTGACCAAGGCTGGTGCTGGGGGTGCATAATGTGCTCATAGCGTTTCATGAAGCCCCCACCCACTACTGCCTGCACGTGTGTTGGTGCCGAGAGGCCTGTAGCGGTTTGGAAGACGTCCCGTCCACAGGAGCTCCGGAAAAACGCTCTTCTCCTCTTGTTCGATACTCCTAGAAGGTCACTGGCTTCCCTGAAGACGTGAAATGGGCCCATGTACGATCTCCAGTCTCCTTTCGCTGGGGGGGATGGAACTGGCCGGGCGTGGGTGGCCATCTTGGAGTGGCCGAGGCAGGTTCTCCTCCCCTTTCTGCGGTGATGGTGGTGGCCGCTGGTGCCGCTGGGATGCCCAGCCTCAGTTCAGCCGCTTTGTGCTTTGATCTCGCAGGGGCCCCCCTTTCTCGCCAGGGTTAAGTGGGGGTCGAATGAAGAGGCCGGGTCCTCAGCCGGTCAGAACAGCCCTCGATGGAGGCCGTTAAGGTGTAGGGGTGGTGCCTGCCCAACCGCTTCCTCCTCCCAAGATTATCCCTCCCCTCCCCAGGAAAATAGACCAATGATTTCAACTTGTTTCTTCCCCCACGCCCAGGAGGCGGACCAGCTTCACTCTTCATTAGCATATTAAGAAGGGACCTTGCAGGTCATCTAGTCCAACCCCAGCCTTTAGGCAGAAGACTCTGCACCATTTCTGACAAGGGGCAGTTGAAGGCATTCAACAAAGGCCCTCCTGCCTTCCCCAAACTCCCCCCTCCCCTCGACCACCCAGGCCAGTCAATCGCTCCCACTCCCCTAATCCCCAGAGGGCGGGGCTGCTGGATCCCCCACCGCCTCTCCAGCACGTCCGTCATCGCTCAGAATGGTCGCTAAAGAAAGGATTGTGTGTGTGTGTGTGTGTGTGTGTCGGTGGGGGGGTGATTGGTGCTCACTGAGTCGGGTGGTTTTCTGGCAGACGTTTCATGAGCCAGCTAGGGAACATTGTCAGTGTTATGTCTTTGGGACCGGTTGGAGTCCCCAACCAGGTCCGCTGTTTGAGCGGGAGCACCAGCCGCTCCCATTGGCTGACACCGTTTGACAGCCGGCTATAAAAGGCGGCTGTCGAGCAGTGTCACCCTGTTGCTGCCAGCTAACCTGCCAAGTTAGAAGGCAGACGCGGGAACCCTTTATTCTTGCAATAAAGCCTTTAACGTTCACTCTGGCTCAGCCTCGTTCTTCCGCCGCTCCACAACACTGGGGACGAGGGCGGGATTGATCGGAGGCTGCCAGATGTGCGATTCAAAAAGAGCTGTAGCCACAAAGAGCGAAGCCACGGGTGCTGAAGCCGCAGCCGCCGGCGCTCACAAAGAGCGCGAAATTTAAAAAAGCCTCCTCAGCCGGGAAGACAGACACCGCCTGATAGGCGCAGCTGCAAACGCTCTTCTAAGAGCGCAAATTTTGATTCACAACTACTAAGGTGAAAGGCACTGCCGCCTCGAAATGAATGCCAATCCGACATTCCCACCCTTCAAGCCAGCCGAGGAAACGTGGGATTCATATAAAAACCGTTTCATCTACTTCCTCGACACTATTGGTCTCGCAGATGCTGCTGAACACAGAAAAAAATCCTTCTCCCTCAGCTACTGTGGGGCTGCGGTTTTTGACACCGCTACAGCACTAGTGGCCCCTCGCGCTATCAGGAGCGTACCTTGGGATGAACTCCAAGAGATCCTCTCCAACCACTACTCACCTAAACCATCCCAGATAGCCAGGAGATATGCTTTCAGAACTAGAAGGCAGGCTGAGGGGGAGTCAATCAATGAGTATATGGCAGCTCTGAGGACAGCTGCCTTACAGTGTGGGTTCAGAGACTACCTAGAGGACATGCTATTAGACCAGATCGTCTGTGGGGTTAGAGACCTTAGGCTTCAAAGACGCTTGCTAGCAAAAAAAGGATTTAACCCTAGCTTTAGCCGTTGAAGAAGCCCAAGCTGCTGAGTTCTCTGCCCAAATCAGCAGCTGAAATTCAAGGAACCCCTTTAAGACCCAGCAGCTCCACTATTCATTCAGAGGAAGTTTCCCTTGAAGAAGACCCCATAGACTCAACAGACATTAACCGCCTTAGGCAACAAAAGCCTTCACAGGAAGGAGCAGGGCAGAGAAACAACGTCACCCCCAAGCAACCTTCCATTTACCTAGCTTGCGGGGGTTCCCACTCTAGGGCATCCTGCAGGTTTAGGAATGCCATCTGTCTAAATTGTCAGAAGAAAGGCCACCTAGCCAGAGTCTGCCAAGCAGGGCGAAACCTCCCTCAGAGACCTCCACCACCTGCTAATTTCCAAAGGCAAGTGGAGGACCGCTATACTTGCTACCACGCGAACCATACTTCCAAGACTCCTAATAAAATCAGTATTTCTCTTTCTTTAGAAGGTAAGCCTTGCAGAATGGAGGTAGACATGGGATCTGCACTTTCGATCATCTCCTGCGAAACCCTAAAGAAGATTCATCCCAGATTTTCAAAGAAGAAGCTGCAGAAATGCCACCTGACACTGCGGGACTACCAAGGCAAGAACATCCCTGTCCTCGGGAAAGGCAAGTTTTTAGTTCAGTTCCAAGCTTTTAAAGGCCATTTGCCTTTGGTGGTTGTTAATGGTGCCCTCCCCAGTCTGTTGGGACTAGATTGGTTCCCTTCTCTCGGCCTTAGTGTAACGGGGATCCATGCTGTCTCAACTTCTGACGTAGACGCCCTATTCTCAGACTACTCTGATGTTTTTAGCAGCGAACTGGGCTGCTATTCTGGCACCCCCATCTCCTTCACTGTGGACCCCCAGGCAATTCCCCTTCGCCTTAAGCCACGCAGAGTGCCTTTTGCCATCCGTCCAAAGTTAGATTTAGAATTAGATAAGTTACTGAATTAAGGGGTGTTAGAGCCAACTGACTTTGCCAAATGGGAGACCCCCCTAGTCACCCCACTCAAGAAAGATGGCAGCATAAGAATCTGCGCAGACTATAAAACCACCCTCAATCGTTATCTGCAGGTCAGCGCCTACCCTGTCCCTGTTATTCAACACCTGTTACACACCTTCGAACCCGGCACCATCTTTGCCAAATTAGTTATGTCCCAGGCATACCAACAGTTCCCTGTTGATGATCAGACAGCTGAATTACAAACCATAGTCACACATAGAGGGGCATTCAAGTGCAAACGCCTCCAATTCGGCGTTAGTGTAGCCCCGGGTATATTCCAATCCCTCATGGAAAGGATTCTCCAAGGTCTCCCAGGGGTTGTCCCTTACTTCGATGACAGTTTAGTCTCAGCAATTGACAGACCTCAGCTCATACAAAGGGTCAGAG